GTTTTCTAAACACAAAGATTGGAGCAAGGACTGTTCGTGGTCAAAGAACTCAAGTTATCATCCGAGTCGGCTTCCAGGTATTTTTCCTGATTGAGTTCTTGATATATATAAGTTAATGAGATTAATTTATTCGTGCATAAATTAATATAATCTATAGAGTATCTCAAAAGTTTTATTAAAATTTTTGTTATACACGATCCGCCTCTTCTTCCCCGCACCACCGCGCTTCCACATCCGGATTCGATCCGGACTACCAACAAATAAAAGGGTTTATAAACAATAAACAATGTAAGTAAACATTAAATAGAAACAAAATATTATACAAAAAAATAATGAGAACAGTACGTCAGTACCTTTGTGTTTTCGGGATGTAGCGAAATTTGATTGAAAATTGTAAATGAAACTATTAAGAGAAAATTAGGAATCGAGAGAGAAAATTAAGAATCAGAGAGAGAATATGAGAGATAGAGTTGTCAGAGTGAGAGGAGTTAAGAGTTGGAAGAGTTATAGAAGAGTGAAGAATGTTGTGAGGGAGATAGGGTATTTATAAGGGTTTTAGGGGTGAATTTTCAAAATTGTGCCATTGGGCACATCGCGGGCCGGGCTCAGAGTAGCCATTTCCGACCGTTAGGCCCATGACGTGCCGGGCTGCTTGTGACCGTTAGGCACGTTGCGGGCCAGTGCTGGGCCGCGCCTTGTAGGGCCGGGCCAAGGCTGCGGGTTGGGAAATTGAGACCCATCCCAGGCCCATGTGATGTGCCGGGCCGGCCCGGCCTGTAACAGTACAGGGCTGGGCTACACCGAACCTGACACTATAGCAGGCTGGGCCGGGTCGTCCATGGATGGCTGGGCCTAATTGACAACTCTAGGGGGAGTGAACTCTATAACTTACTGTGGAGTTAGGTGTAGTATGTATTTTGAGATTTCTAAAAATTTTACTTATTGTACTTTGTATTGTGATTTATAGTGTGAAACGATGGTTTTTACTGTGATTAATTTAGTTATTGTTTTATTTGTTTATTGTTTAGTTGTTTGTTTCGTCTGCGATAAATGTTTCTTTGCGGTTTTTGTGTAGCCTTCGTCCTATGGGTTTCTTGACATCGGTTAATTGAAATTTTCCATTGATTATAGAGGATCTATTGGAGAGCCACATATGTGCTAGAGTATTAGCGTATTGTTTTAGGTGATTTTCGTTTTTAGGATCCAATACATATATATTTTTTTACCTTAATTCGAGTTTATTGATGAAACCGGTTACATATTGGTGTCGTGTTTCATATAATCGAGATTATGTGTATGGATTGCTATTTGTAACGCCCTTTCACGCTTTGAAATATATTATCCATTTAAAAAAAAAAACAATAGAGTTTTGAAGTAATAATACATGATATATGTATGCCGAGACGATGATGGAGCGGGGAGATTGATAATATTATTAAAATATGAAGTTTAAAAGGATCGTTTTGTATAATTACTTATAAAAAAGGCAAGAAATAAAAATAGTATTCATCCCATCGATTAAAACCTCACACTCATAAAGTGAAGAGTTCTACTAATTGAGTCTCACCTATTTATTTAATAGGACCTATCTCATGTGAGTAAAATGAGGATTTAACTCTATCAGGATGAATAGTGGTGCTTGGCAAAAAAGGAGAGTTGGTGCTTGGTGGTGCATTGTGTACGTGGATTCATAAGCACTACTGCTATCATAGGTTGGGCCTTAATGGGTCCGACAGAGTATCTGCAGTTCTTGGCCGGCGCACCCCCACAAAAAAAAAACAAAACAAAAAAGAAATGGAGGAAGAAGTACGTACAATTGGAAGCAACACGTACGGTGTCGTGGTGTAGTTGGTTAACACACTGAAAGTCTCCGGTTCGAGTCCGGGTGACAACCATTTTGTTCAATGCTGTTGAACCTCGTATCAACTATCATTTGCAATGTTTTTGTATGATAATTTTGCTTAGGATTTACGTGCGTAACCATTTTTGGGCCATGAAGATGATTACATTTGTAATATCTGATGGAAGAAGTCCCAGCAAACCTTTTGGTTTATGGCAAATGCGTTGGTTCGAGTTTACTGCTACTGTTTCTAATTAGGTTTGGATTTCTTTGAAGATTGTAGTTCAACTAATCTTACACCTAGACCTTAGTTATTAGATTGTAATTACAAATATGCATTGGTTATACTAAGAATGATGTTATCGGTTATACCATCATTACTAGTTATATGTCGTATTTTCGTAATTTCAGTGATCATTTTATATTTAACTGGATTCCTCACAAATAAAAAATGATGAAAAGTCTCGGTAGTAAACTCTTTTCTTTTATTCATTCTATTTTCACTTAGAACAATTGAAATCATAAATTTGTTTTATTCTCTTTAATTTTACCTAAAACCTAATTAGCCACTAATCCTGGCCTTGGGACATGACAATCTACCTTGAGCGTATGGTTCATTGGTGTCAACGTAGAGTGTATGGTCTTGCCATGGTCTACCTCGAGTTTATGGTCACATAGGGGTCTACTTCGGGCGCATGGTCACAATGGGGTCTACCTCGAGCCAAACTGTGCTCAACACCAGGGACTCTAACTCTTGGGTCTTGGCTGTAGCAATGGGACAAGAAAATGCAGACGCTCCTGTTGTAGGGAAAAATCCCACACTCCACATCGGGCATTAGATGAGCGTCACGTGACACAGTTGGTGGATTAGTGGCCATGATAGCTTAGCATCCAGTATTCACAAAATGGAACCTGGTAGGGGCCAACCGCAAGATAGCGCAGGAGGTCGACCGTACAGAAGAGAAGATGAGCGAGAGGTCGACCGTACATAGGCGTCATGGCAGACAAGAGGCCGACCGCTTCGGTAGACGTAGGCGGAGACAGCATGATAGGTGCCTGAGGAGCTGATTGCACGCATCTCAAGGGAAAACTGAACTTATACCTTATGTGACTTGCAAGCAAGCGAAGTTAATAGGGTAGCAGGAGAAAAGATCAATGTTGATTGACAGACACTCCACTTGCCAACGGCTACATCTAAAAATATGAGATGATGTGATATAATATAATGATGGAATGTAATAATGGAAATGGCAGGGGTTGAGAGCTATAGAGCTAATATATATGGGAAAAAATGGTGAGCCGAGAGGCTCACAACTCTGTAAGAAAAACTTGTACTCATAATTCATAGTGAAGATTTTTCCCTCCCCACAATGAACGTAGCTCTTGATTTACAAGGGTGAATCACTATAAATTCTATTGTTTTTTCTCTTTAATTACTTTTAACAATCTTCCTCTAAACAAGATTAAGCTACTAAAATCACATTAATTACTTCTAAATTTGAATTAATCATGTTGACAAGTTTTCACCGTCAACAGCTCCATTCTTACGTCTTGACCTCATCAAAATCTCATCAAACTTCCCATCTTTGAAGGGAAACGGCAAAGGGGAAGAGGTATTGATATCTTTTGAAACGAATCATAATGGAATTGTCTTATGGGAGAGGTGGAGACGCCCCAAAAAAGTTTCTCTGATACTGACGAGTCCCAAGTCTAGTAAGCTTGTTGATTATTCTTTAAAAAAAAAAAAAATTATTATCAAACCTTTTTAACAATTTTAAGGCATTCTTTCTTAGGACTGTTAAAAACAAAAGGCCGATAGAATTGTAAGCAAATAAAGGTACATTTACCAACACTATGAACTTAAAAGTGCATTTTGCACATATCCCAAACACAGAAAAAGAGAAATTTAGCATTTTGATAGATACCGATACTGATTGGAAGGTCAAAGGCGCCATGCTACATGCAAAAGACATTTAAATGCAGCATTTGATTTTGACGTGATGGACGATACTTACCATTGAACAAAAAAGAGCAACGAAAGCTCCACAGAATAACACGTTTGGAACCAGCATCATTATTTGAATTACCATTTCTACTGTCGAAACCAATTGTCTAAAAGAATTTGCACAAATAAAAAACTAGACATTCCACCTAATGATAAGAGGGAACTATATGACCTCATTGTATACTTCTCCCAATCAAGTAAGTTTAATAGGGAAGAAGAAGCAAAAGAAGTATTCTACTTGGGGGAATGGGATGACCTCAATCAGCTAATGTTTTATCACGTTACTATATAAGCCCTTAAGAGTTGAGCTCCACAAAAAGGCTGGCCTGAGGATGCAATCCTGCTTCTTTCAAAGATAACAAAAGCTTCTCCGATCCATAAACTACCCGAGGAAAGTTTGAGACGAGGCTGTAACTCTCCACATCTAGACAACCCAGAGAATCGACATAGTCGTAGACAGTTTGGATGGTTGCAGTGCTGTGGAATCGTCTTTCCTTGCGTGCTCCAGTAGGGAACCGCACCAAAACCTGTTTTTGCCAAGATGAAATCCACAAACAGGAATAAGGTTAGAGAATTTCAATCTTAAGTCTCAACTAATAGAAAAACCAGAATAATGCTTAACGATGCTTGAATTACATCACTTCATATTAACTATTGGAATCTGCATGCAACAATTATATGAGAGAAATATCGGATAAATGCAGTTCAAGCCAAAAAGGGATTACTTGTGTAACATTAGGGCCTTTTTCCGGTTCATCGCCAAGTGATAAGGCCTTTTCTTGTCGTATCCTGGCAAGTGCAGCCTCTTTCTCCGCGGCTTCACGTTCTGCTCTTTCACGAGCCTCCTCTTCCTCCTTGCGCTTCCTCTCAGCTTCGGCAGCTTCTCTCTCCAGGCGTTCTTGTTCCTCCTTTCTCTGGCGTTCCCTAGCCTGAGACAACAAAGAAAGAAATATCAATGGAGTGGATAGACAATAGCAACATAGATATATAGAAAGAAAAAATAGGTTGGGAATAAGAAAGGGCATGAAGCGTCAAATATGAAACTTGAAAGTGAAAATTAACCTAACCCAGAGGGAAAGAAAAGGAGTTAAAAAGCATCATACTTGATCAGCTTCAAGTGCTGCTCTATAGGCAGCATCTTGCTCCTCTCTTAAACGCGTGTTATTTCTCCTTTCTTCTGCATCCAGCCTTGCTGAAACAAGAACTGGAGCACTTTCTTCAAGCACTCTTTGCAATATTGTGAGCAATTCTTCGAGAGTTGTTGGTCCCTCGACCTGAAAAACAGGATAAAGACACTTCAATAAGTACTAAATAAACAAAAATCAAAAGGGTTGTCAGCATTTACCCATTAATCACCACAATGAATTAGGAATGTGAAGTGCAAACTAAGATTCTACTCAAAAGAATCCCCCATTAACTGATTAGTCCAGACAATACCTCGTTAACTGCTGATTTTAAGATAACCAGTTCAAATTCAAAGGAAACAATTTTAGCCTAATTCAAAGGAAACAATTTCAGCCTGCTTTTATAACATAATTTTAGAAATGCAATAAGTCTCAAATAACACCATAAGTCATAAGTGTTTAATTAACCAACGTAGCTAATCATAACAAATAAATAAAGACATTGGTTTCATATTTGACTTGGAAGACCTATATATGTAAATCCAATCCAGGTAAAATTTTCTTAAGGAGTTTTTCTTCAAGTGAAGAGGTACTACAGTTGAAAGCTAATACCACTCTCTGTCAGCTTTGCATTTACACAAAAACACTTCTACCAGCAGCATCTACTATTGTGTAATACAACAATACAACACAAGGACAGTTGTGCAAAAACCGGCTAGTTTCACGGAGGGATACATATACCATGTTACACAACATCTTCAACTGCCATTATAATTGTTGCCTTCTACGTTCTACATTAAAATTTATATGTTTGCAACCTATTTATTTGTCCGCAAGAATTTCCCTTCTCTTCAAAGTTCAAGCAAAAAAAAAGATTCACTTTTTACGATAAACTTCTTAAGCACTTTAAAACAGGGTTTCCCCCATTTCAAAAGAAAGAAAGAAAGAAGATTTCCCAATGAAGCCACTCCTTTACAACTACATAATAGCCACTCAAAATACCCCCAATTCATTCATTCCACTACAAAATCTACGATATCAAATGCACTCAGTCCATATATCACGCAGATGATCCCGGCAAACACAATTGCCGGTCTGCTACTAAAAACCGAGACGTGACACTAATTCTTTGATCTATGATCTATCTCTGTACATTACTTGACAAATCAACTATAGGCTCTTATAGGCCGCCAACTATATAGTGAAATCCACGTTATTCCTCAATCTACCAATCAAACCTAAACGATTTAGTCTCCATAAGTCACCAAATTAGCATATGCTATATCGCCTTAAAATCTCACTTTCTGAGACTTCAAGATATAATCTTGCAATACTGAAGAAAATTAATGGGAATACTAGAGATATTAATGGCAATTAAATAAATAAAACAAGTATCAAAACTCCAACTAGATTACCTGCTGAAGCAGCGCTATTCTCTGATTCGTGGCGGCCATAACCACAGCACAGAAAGGATACCGCGAGGCCTTTAAGCTATTACTCATCTTGAACCCTTCGCTGGCCCGAATACTCCCTCCCCAAGCCACGAAATTCTCGTTCACGAACGCCGCCAAGACCTCCGAGCACAGCGTCCTCTCGCAGAACAGAGGCGTGTCTGGATGATCCGGCGAGTGCAAGTAAACGAACAGCAGCTTAAACTCGTTCCTCGACCTCTGCAACGCGTCCATAAACCCTTCGCTCACGAAATTCGGCCTCGTCCTCCCACCATAATCCCTCTCGAATCCCGCAACGAATTCCATCGCCTCCGACGCTGCCGCCGACACCGGCACCAACCGCTCGGACGATTCCCCTCCCCGTCCCGAGCCAGAATTCAACCCGATCATTCCCAGCGAGTACGATAGTACACCTCCAGCAGCCCATAATCCGAGACCAATCGCGCCGGAGACTAACCCTAGACTACCGGATATAATCGAAATCGGCAAAGTCACCAACTTCCACGCCAATCCTGGAGGTCCAACAGCATTAGGAACCGATTCCGGTCTCTGCGAAGAAGCTTCACGGGGTTGTATGGCGGAAACAGTGTCGGCGGTGGAGGATGTACCGGCGATTGGTTCCTCAGGCGGCGGGTCGGCGTTGTTGGATGTGAAGGAGGAGATCGCGAGCTCTAGGTCCCAGCCATGGGCGGCGAGGATATCGGTGCACAAATCGGGATCTTCTAAGCCCGTGATCGCTTGGAAATACGCCAACTTGTCGGCTACATCAACCATTTCTGTGAGCACAAGAAGAGAAAAAGTACCGGATAATTGGTTTCGAACAAGGTTTTCTAGGGGCTTTCGGACGACTGTTCTGTTCCTGTTCTGGGAAAGATTGGGTTGAGGAAGGACAAAAATAGTAGAAAAAGAAAAAGTTTTAAGTGAAATGTCTTAAGTACCCCTCGACGTGATGGAAAATAAAGAGAATGGCGCACTGTCGGGCTCTGGTTCAAGTATTAATGGTACAACGACGTCGTTTCATAAGCCCAAAGCCAAGCGAAGAGAGTGGAAAATGAATAATTTGAGGTGCACTTCTTTCAATTCCTTTTTCTTTTGGGTTAATGACAATTTTGGTCCCCATTACTGTATGTATGGTTCTATTTTGGCTCTCAACTTTAAAACGTTACATTCTAAATTATGCTTACTTGTCACGTGTTTAGCTTTTCTGTCACAAAATTTATAATAACTCGAGGGAGTTAACCATGTGGTCGATCACATACTTAGAGCTTGTTCATTTACATCTAAACTCAAAAAAAATTTGAACTTAAGTTACAATTTTATTTAAGTTTATGTTCTTTTATAAAATTTGAATTTGAACTTGAGTTTGAAGCTAAAATCTGAGTTCAAATTCTCCTTTCAACTTAAGTTTCCAAACTCAAACTAAGTTAATGAATAATATTTTTTCTATTCTTAAAAACGATATAACTTTTCGTTTTAATTCCAGTTGAGATGATTTTTTTTTCTATACGTTTATAACGAAGAGACGAATAAAACACTACCCATATACCCTATTAAAATTTCTCATCACTATTGAGTTTTTATTAAAATACTATCCAAATACAAATTCAACTTTTGACTCACCCAAACACAAACTCAAATAGATTCTCAATACAAACCATAACTCAAAATATGCACATCCAAACAAAAACTTAAATTAGAGTCACAACTCAAACCATACTCAAATACACCTTAACTCAAATCAAAATCCGAACTCAAATTACCCTAACTTAAAAAATACAAATCAACAAGCTCTTAATTAATGATAAAAAAATTAATTTAAAAGAGAAAAAAATTTAATTTAAAAGAGAGAAAATTTGCATTCTCCCTACATGAGTTCGTTGATGACAAAGTATTTGATGGTTAAATTCATTTAAGTTTATCTTAAAGGTGCGATTTGTTTGAAATAACTCCGTTCACTTCGTTGATTCGAATTTAGAATTTAAGTTTTTCTACAGTAAAAAGCTCTCACAAACAATCACATCTAACTTTTTTGCTACAGTAAAAAATTTTCACATAAAGTCACATTTCAACTCAAATTCTAAATTCGAATCAGCGAAGTGAACGGGGATAATTTATCCATTTTTGTAATTGGGGGACAAATTTGACAAAGTGCAATTTGCAACGTTTTAAAACTTATGAGCTAAAATGACGCAATAATCGTTATTTGAGGGATACCCTTTTCTTAGATGAATTTGAAAACTTGTATAAAGTTATTGACTTCTGACAGCCAATGGATTGCTTGTATTAAAAAAAAAATCAGAATATTCTTTTTTCTAATAATCGGCAGTTCCCATGAGATAATATAGAGGAGGTCCATGGGAAATGTACTACATACCACAAGCTGAAGTTGCTGATGCAATATGGTTTACCATTATAAACCATAAATGCTGCCTGAAATATCTAATTTATTTTAAAGTGGCCCTTAATTTTTTAAAATGGTTTAAAACACTCTTTAATTTATTAAAAACGGTTCAAAATATCTCTTTAGTCTTATTCCATCTGCAATACTAATAGATTTATTGACGTGGCAAGTAAAAAATTATTTAAAACCATTAAACTACAATTAAATATATATAATTGATTGTATAATACAAACAATTAAAAATTGGAGGCAACTACTATGCGTAAGTCAATTTCTATTAGTCATACGCAGCTTGATTTAATTTAAGGTTGGAAAAAGTCAATTGTATCCACAATAAAGTTCTTAAGATCGGCATATTAGGGATCATTTGATGGATAATTTGACGGGTGAAAAAAGAAGAGAAACAGTGTTCTTAATATCAACACATTAGGGATCATTTGAGGGGGAAAAAAGAAGAGAAACACTGTTCTTTGGATTATGAGATCAAGTTTTTAGGATCAACATATTAGGGATCATTTGATGGAAAAAAAAAAAGAGAAACACTGTTCAAAAATGAATTTCTTCGCTATTACTTTATAAAAGAGAGAAGAGTTAAACCTATCAAAAGAAGTAATTTTTTACTCTAAAAGAGAAGTAATTTATCTCTAAACACACGTCAGTCTCAATCACATAAACTCTTACAACAATAGCATTAACTAAAGAAAAATTCTTCAAGAAATCAATTTGACCGAAAAATAACACTCTCTTTTTGATTTCTTCAAGTAATTTATCTCAAACGTCTTCTTTTCTTTTTCATCTTTTTTTAGTATTCTTTTCTCATTTTCTTCCCCATTCTCAACTTCCAATCAAGATCCAAAACAACAATTTTACAAAGAAAAAGTATTTTTGCTCGTTGCAGGAGCTGA